CCCTGGTGCCGCAGGAAAACACACAAGCAAACACACATGTGTGAGTGTATTTGCTGCCGCAAGTGGTGGATGTCATTTGAAACTTTTCTCCTTTCCGTTTTGTTTTGTTTTCATTTCTTTTCCGGTTGTTGTTGTTTTTTTTTTTTTTTTTGCTCACATGACACGGCGGCATCTCCGCAAGCACGCATAGAGCCATAAATTAAAGGGTCAAACAACGAGCGAGGAGGAGGGAAAAACACCAGTTGTTTCCATCGTCGTTATTATTATTTATTATTATTATTATTATTTAATTGATTAATTAATTAATTATTAGTTATTATTCTTACTATTAGCAACAGCAGCAGCAGCAGCGGTGATAATACATCCCAGCAAAGCCCAGGAAAGAAGTGCAGGAAATGGATCCACCCAGCGTGCCGTCGTCGCCGCAGGCACCACCGGAGATAACCCCGCCCGGCATGAGCCACTCTTTCCGCACGGAGGCCTTCATTACCCTTGAGATGGCGCAGGCCGTCACGATCAATCGGGAAAAACTCTCGGAATGGCACCACAAGATACGCTCAAGGCTCTTTTCGCTGGTCTCGGGGTTTTTTGTTCGTTGCCGTGTGGAGGACTCTACCGACGGCAGGGCGCTTTACAAAGTTGGCCGTATCAAGACACTGAAGCCGGATTGGTCCGTTGAACTTGACCTCATCACGACGGAAGAAATACTCTCTGGCCGAAGCCACACAAACTACGACTGCATCAGCAATGCGAAGATCACCCCCACGGAGTTTAACAGCTTTATTTCTAAGGTTCCCCCGGAACTTTTGCCAAACATATTTAATACGGTCTTTAAGATGGAAGAACGACTAAGGATGCTGGAGAGTGTCATATTGGTGGAACCCGCATTCCATGGGAAGCGACGGGATGACAAGCGCACCCAAGAGGGCTCTCAAGTTGGAGGTGGTGTGGCAAATTTACCGGAAAAGTACGTCTTTTCACAGAATGTGCTTCTCTGTGAGGATGACTTTGTGAACCTCCCACAAACCGTCACAATTGTGGATTTGCTGCAGAACGCTGTGGGTCAAAAAGGGGTGGCTGAGCCGGACACGCCGCGGGCTGGTGTAGCACCTGGTTCAGGGAATAAACCCCGGGCATTCGATGAGGCTGTTGCCAGTCACAGTACGATGCTTCAGTTGCAGGACATGCGAAATTACATGAACTCCCCCACTCAGCCGCCTGTAGATGCGGCTCGTCTCATTGAGACGATACGTCGTGCTGCAAACCCCACCCATAATGGATTTTCATATGAAAACCTTCCCGAATTCTGTAAACTTGTCATTTCTGTATGTAGTCAATGCCGTGAGGTGGTGGCAAAGGAACCCCTTTTCGTTCGCCTCAAATCCCCCATTACAGTATTTGGTGATATTCATGGCAACTTTGCCGATATGGCTTACTTCTTGGAGAAGGTGGTGGGCTTCGACGATATTATGCTCAAGTACACCACGACACATCTTCTGTTCCTTGGCGACTATGTGGATCGAGGAGCCTTTTCCCTAGAATGTGTCATGTATCTTCTGGCTTTGAAGGTCATCAATCCATCGAAGGTGACGCTTCTGCGCGGTAATCATGAGTCACCGGAGGTAAATGGGGACATGGATGTATACGGCTACAGCTCCTTTAAATATCAATGCCTTGACAAGTTTGGTCGGGAACGAGGCATTGATGTTTGGGTTGCCGTCAATGAGGTGTTCCAGTTCCTTCCCGTTATTGCTGATATTGACAAGAAAATCTTTTGTGTTCACGGTGGGCTTCCACAGTACACGGGCGGGGAAGATAAGCGGCTGGAGATTCTCTCCGACCCCTCCTTTCCCCGAGTCCCTGTAGTGCAGTGTACGGACCCGACAAACGTCGCACAGCGCATGATGGTGAATGACTTGTTGTGGTCCGACCCCGCCCCACCAAACCATCAACTCGATAAATACGGCTTTGGTCCGAACCCGCGTGGGCCTGATATTAAAACATTTGGTTCTCGCGCCGTTGACATGTTCTGTGAGCGCTACAACTATCAATACATCTTTCGTGCCCACCAGGAGAAGGCGGATGGTCTGCGATTGTCCGACAATGCCCGTGTTGTGACGATCTTCTCCACCTCCGACTACGCCGGGCATCAAAACGGTGCAGGCTGCATATTAGTGGCCAACGGAAAAATGCGCATGGCCATTAAGAAGCCGCAGCGGCAGGAGTCGAAGGAAGTTAAGGGCCCTGTTTCCCCACGTACACTGGGAAAGAGCGTCCCTGGATTTGTACCGCGTCTCAAGCGCCTGTAGAAGACTTTTCCAACCACTTCCTTTTACTCTTCTTCCTTCTGTCAGGCAACCCGCCTTATTGCCAATGTATTATTGTGGCCGACATGTCGTAGAAAAGAAAACAAAGCAGCCGAAAAAAACAAAAAGAGGTGAGAGAGGGAGAGAGAGAGAGTCTGTGTGTGTGTGGGAGGGGAACTGTATATATATATATATATATATATATGTATTTTCAAGAGGTGTATGTGTGCATTGCTATACTTGCTCTCCAGGGAAGAGAAGGGGCTGAAACAAAAGGAGGGGCGTGGTGGAAAACGGAGAAAAAAGAAAAAGAAGAAGGGGGTGGGGAAGATATGTTCCTTCAATCAATAAATAAAAAAAGAAAATGTTTTTATGTTTTAAATAAAATAAAAAGAGAGGAAAATGGGTGAAAGGCTTTTGCGTGGCTGAAAGACTTTTACGGTGAGAATATACACATGCATCTCTTCTTCCACCGCCCCCTCAAAAGGAATAAAGACCGCGAGCGAAGACTTTGTTTTGTGCGTTTATTCTTGCTTTTTTCCTCCTTTTTGCTTCTACCCTCCCCATTCCCCTTTCTTTCTCGCTATATTTGTTTATTTATTTATATACACGCACGGAGGTCTGTGGCGGCAGTCTTGTCGCTTTTGCACAATGTTGACTCAAGGGAGCAAAGGGAAGAGAAAACGGGTGTGTGTTGTGTTGTATTGTGTTTTGTGTGTTTGTGTCCGTGTGTGAGAGTTTCTTGTCGGGTTGTTGTTTTATTATTTTATTATCCCCTTCCCCTTGTTGAGTATACGCATTGCTGCATGTCTCTGCATCGCCTCTTATTTGCCCTTTCTTTGTGGCTGTTTTTCTTTTTTTAAATTCCTGCACGGAAGTGGGCTAATCTGGTCTTCTGTGGGTGGGTGGGCCGTAGCTGCAGGCGGCGGGTAAAAAAGAGTAGGACGAGGCGGAGGATTTTATTATTATTCCCTTTTCTTTGGCCTGTTGAAAAAAAAAATGGTCTTCTGCCCTTCGTCCATGGCGTTGGGTCGTGCTTTGCTGTTGTCGCCCTTCTGTCACCAACCCGTGGCGATCCCAGCTGCCCCGTCACTGCGGCGTCTTTTGCTTGAGGTTAAGCCGCGGAGCGAGAGCAGTCGAGAGGAGGTGGTGGCGGCTCTGCTGGAAAAACTACCCGCCCACTGCGACAGGGTGAAAAAGGATATGCTCCATGCACGCTACGCAAGCAGGTACTACCGCAGTCGCTACGGAAGAGGGATGGAGACGCGGGGAAAACAATTGCGGGGGCTGCTGGAGATGCCGGATGATGAAGTGCGGCGGTGGGCCCAAAGTCGATGTGTTCCTGTGCGGGACCCACTGGCGCCGCGATAAAATTGTCACAAATACGCTTGCTTTCTTTTTTTTCCCCCCCCTTTCACCCTCTCTCTCTCTCTGTCTCTCTCCCTCTTTGTGGCCTCTTCACTCTTTGTTTGTTTGTTTCTTTTGGGGTGGTCTATGTCTATCTGCAAGGTGGGGAAGAAGGAAGGGAACTGGGACGGTTTGCTGTCTGCTGTTCCGTGAGAGGAGATGTTGTCGAGCCGCCGCCATAACATTTTGCTGGCGCCCAAACTCATGTTTATTACCCGCAGCTCAACGGCGGAGCAGCAAAAAGAGGAGCTCCACGACGCCGTGCGACGCCACGATTCTCTGGTGGCGGACAACCTGAAGCGGCGCAACGGCAGCGCCCATGCGACTTACGATGAAGAGGTCGCTGTGCATTTCCCTGCGTTTCAGTTGGCAATTCTTCCGCCCACGAACGGAGTGCACCGCGAGGGGCTTCGGGGGTCGCTTGCTACACATGTCACTGAAGAATTTAGACGGTTTCTTGTCCAGCCATGGACGTCGGCGGCGAAACGACATGTGCTTATTGTTGGCTCTCGAAGCGTTGGATACCTCCAAAGGCAGCTAGCGATGGATAAGGGTCATAGTGTGTTCGTTGTGGATCACGCGCTGTCGGCATTGCTGGATGCAGCCACCGCGCTGGTGCCACGGTACGGCCCGCGAGTGCATTTTGTTCGCAGCGACGCACCATTTTTGCTGCAGCGCCTCATGCCGCCTACCACAGCCGATGTGTGCGTCGTGCCGATGCCTGTCCCTTTCTGGTCGGAAAGCGGGAGTTACCGACGTCTTGTTACGCGGGAATTTCTTTGTTTGGTTCACAGAGTACTGAGGGTGCGTGAGGGTCCTGCAGATCCGCGCGGAATTGTCACTTTTACAGACACCGCACCACTCGCCGAGTTTATGATGGAGCAGCTGGAGGAGAGCCGACTGATTGTCCCGTGGACGCGGAAGGACCCCGCAGAAATTTATGGCCGCTGGCTGCCGATTCAGAGCCCGCCGGACCGCGAGTTTCAACAGCAGCGTTTGGGCGACGTCGTTGCGTGGGCCGCCTCGAAAAGCGGACCGACTTCAACGCAGGCCGAAGAGGCCGTGCAGTCCTTCGACTACAAACGGCGCTACTACCGTGCACTCTCTCGACAAGAGGCGTGACAAACCACAGTGCGTGACTTTCTGCCGAGCAATGATGATGCGGTGCTGAAAATGAGAGGGAACGTACATAGCTGTCTTGCACAACAGCCTTGCGTCTCCGTTACGCACATGCACGCTTCATTTCCAATTGTCACCCTCTTTTGTCAGTCCATATTATTAGAAATTGCATTGTGTGTACTTCTCACCATTGTCGCCAACGTTCTTTTTTGTATATATTTTTTGTTGTTGTTGTGGTGGTGGTGGTGGTTTGAGAAGGGAGCGGGGTGGGCTGGGGAGCTTGAAGCGTAGAAGCAGCGAGGAGCGGAGACAAGTACAGGTAGGTCTTTCTTTTGAAACCCAAACAGGGACGCCCAGAAGTACGCATTTAATCCATGTACAGGAAGAACGTTTGTGTTGCCATATTTAATGAGGACCTTCGCTTTCTTGGCTGCAGGCGCATTCAAGACAATTTATTTCAGTTTGTGCAGGGAGGAATAGAGAAGGACGCCGATCTCCTCCATGCCGCGTACCGCGAGGTGTACGAAGAGACTTCTCTTTGTAAGGAGGACCTTCACTTCGTGGGGGAAGTTCCGCCGCCCAGCGGTGATCCGAGGGAGTTCCGCTACGAACTTCGCCGCACATCAAATCTCCGGAACTTTGGTTTCCAGGGCCAGGAGCAGCGCGTCCTGCTTTTCTTCACAGACTCCGGCAACATCGAGAAGGTGAACGTCATTCCACCCAAAGAAACCTGCGCGCAACAGGAGTTCTCTGAAGTCCACTGGATGGAACTGAGGGAGATCATTGACCGCTGTCCGAGAGAAAAGATTCACATCTTTCTTGCCGTGGCCAAGGTGGGAGTCCCCATGGCACGGGCTTTTCTGCAGTCCCGCTCAGCTCTTAAAAAGGACAGTATTTAGGAAGAAGAGAGAGGCTGTGGTAAATAATTCCCTTTGCTTCTTTTTTTTTTTTTTTTTGCTCTTTTGCTTATTATTATTATTATTATTATTGCACACTCACACGCCGCAGTGGGAGGAGAACAGAAGAGGAGGAGGAGGGGGGCGGCGGCAGCTTAAAAGTCATTCATTCATGTGCATGCATCATACGATGCGTGGCAGAGGGGCGTGGACGGATACGGAAATATAAAATTTATATCAAAAGGACGTCCTTTTTTTTTTTTTTTTTTTTTTTTTTCTTGCCTCCCTCTACTTTCTTCATGCCTAATTACGTGCATATATTTATATTCCCTACTTTTGTTATAACGTTTGTTGCTGCTTCGTTTTACGCCTCCCAAGTGCCGAAAAAAAAAAAGAAAGGAAAAGGTTTCATGCATGGCTGTTCCCCCACAAACGCCCGTGCGTCCTCCTCGCATTTGTTTTTGTTTGTTTCTACCGTTTTTTTTTTTTCCTTTTGCGCTTCTCGTTTTGGCTGCCAGTGTTTTTTTTTTCTCCCTTTCTTTTTTCTTTTTCTTCTTTTTGGCTCTTTTTTTTGTTTGTTTTCCACCGCCGTTGCCGTTGCCATCACCCAACAGGGGCCGTAACGGGTGTGATGGACTCGGCAAGGGAGGCGCTGCTTGCCGAGACGAAGCGGCTTCTCGCAGCGCTCAACGACGAGAACAGAGAACTGAAGGCGGAAAACACGCGGCTTCTCGCCCGGTGCAAAACGGCGGCCGAGAGGCTCACATCCGTCAGTGTGGAGAAGGAGGGGCTGGAGAAGGACCTGAAGCACATAAACTTCAACCTCATGCATCAGCTGCGGGTGAAGGTGGGTGCCGTGAAGGAACATGAGCGGCGTGCGGCGCAGCTGCAGGCAACCGTGACGGGTTTAGAGAAGCAGCTGCAGGAATCCCGGCTGGCGCAGGAGTCTGCCGTGAAGGAGAGCAAGATGCAGCGTGAGCAGATTGCCGTGTTAGAGAGCAGACTCCAGCAACTGACGGAGCGGCTCTTTCGCACGGAGGCGGAGGCCGGCAAATACGCCGATGATCTCAACGCTGCGATCTCGGGCCATCGAGAGGCGGTCGCGAAGATCCAACACGACGGCGCAGAGCGGCTGAAGCAGGTTGAGGAGGCGCTGCGAGTGAGTCGGGGCAATGAGGCCGGTCTGGAGCGTGTCGTGGAGGAGCTGCGGTATGAACTCGGCCGCGCGAAGGAGGTGCTGCGGCAGAGTCACTGCAGTAGCAGCGAGGGTCAGCGACGCACCCTCTCAGCCCGATCAGAGGCCCTGTACGCGCATGAGCAGGTTCTCACAGCGTGCAACGCGTCCTGTCAACAATTGCGGGAGCTACAGCAAAAACTTCGAGGCCTGGAGAGCCTCGCCACGAACGCGAGTCACCACGTGGAGCCAACTTTAGAAAGAGGGGAAGCAAGGCTGCGGGAGCAGATGGAACATTTTATCGGCACGGATGAGGCACTTGTGGCGTTTCTCTGCCAACGTATTATGGATCAGGAGGAGGCGTTGCGCACTGCGCGGGAGGAGCTTGCACGTGCCCACCACCGTCTCAGGGAAAGTGAGGGGGAACTTCACAAAGTACGCGCTGAGAAGCAAAGTTACGAGGCGGAGCTGAAGTCACTTACGGCTTTACAGCAGGAGATGCAAACAATACGAGCGGAACGACAAGCACATGGTCGCATAGAAGAAGAGCTGCGTGCGGAGGTTGGGCGATGGCGGCATGAGGCAGAGCGTAGTGCGAGTCAAGTGACGGAGTTTAGACGTCTGTTACAGGAACAACGGGAACAAAGTGAGGCTGCAGATCGCATTCACAAGCGGGAGGAGGACGATGTGGATGAGCAGCTGCGGGGGTTCTCAGCTGCCGTATCGCAGGCATTGCGCAAGTTTGACTCTACGACGCGTCACCGCCGTCGTCTCTCGTCCTCTGCGGGAGGTGTGACGTTGTCACATGCGCCGTCCACGCAGTTGACGGAATATGCCCCTGACGGCAACATGTCGTCGCCGTCGGTGGTGCGTGTGGAGCCTTCATCCGGCGCACCGAGCCACACATAGAAGGTGAATCGTCGAGCGCATTGTGAATACATGTAGACATCATAATAAATATATGAATGTGAGGCAATGCGTGATGGGCTTATGGAGTTGTTATGTTTGTTTTATTGGGGAATGAACGTGATCTTTTTCTTATATTGTTTCTCCTCTCCCTTCGTTCTCCATTTCTTTCTCTCTCTGTGTGTGTGCGTACGATTTTTAGCTCTCTGAGTTTAATAACTTTTGGCTCTAACCAACAACAACAAGAAAGATATTGTTAAGAGTACAAAAAGGAATACAGAAGCAATAAACACACACACACACACACACACACACACACACACACCTATATTTATCCATCTATATAGTGAATGGTGTCCTTGCGATATGTGCGGGAGCAGCAGGAAGCAGCGGTGCGGCGCGCGCGCTTTGAGGAGGCGCGACGTATCGGAAGTGCGATTGGAGTGCAGCGAGCCCGCGCGTACGCGGCGCAGAAAAGTGCACAGGCAGTCAAGGTACGAGAAGACATGCGAAAGCAGTGGGAGTGCGAGGTGCAGCAGCAGGCCGCGCTCATTGATCGGGTCTTGTACGACGGACAGTCGAGACTCGGTGAGGGGATGCGGGGGGCGGCTGAATTGACGGCGGCGCAACAACGACATGCGAGCGACGAGATAAACGCTTGGGTGGCCGAACACGCGTTGGAACGGGAGAGGCACCGCATCGCACGGGCCACGGAGCGCGTCACGCGGGCACTACAAGATGAGCCGCATCGTAGCATTGTGGGGCGCAAGAAAGCGGTGCGGGAGGTGGAGGACAAACGCAGTAAGACGAGGATTGCCCAGCCGTCGCCACGTCTGCCGTCTTTTGCGTCTCACGGCTCTCCACTTGCCGGGGCTCTATCGCACACGGCAATTATGCAAGCACGCACGCCGACACCCGTCGCAAGTGTGGTGATGGTGACGGCAGATAATGATGACGGACATCGCAGGGCGGCGCGCGGTGAGGCTGCTGCCGTGCAGTTTGCCGAGGAGCGGAAACGAGAACTGGCGGGCGAGAGGGAAAAGCTTCAGCAGTGTCAACGCGAGGCAGCGGAGCGGGCGGCGGCGTACTTGTCGGAGCGCGATAAGGAAGCGAAGGAGGCACGCGAAGCAGCCAGGCGGCGGGCAGCGAATATGGCGGCACTGGAGCAACGCATTGTCGCGGAGCCGCAGGATGACAATTCGGTGAGCGGCAAGGTTTTAGAGACACGGCGGGTGGCAATGCTCAAAGCGCAGGAGGAGGTGGAGTTTGGGCAACTGTTTCTTAGTGGGCCGTTGCCTCTTAACGACGAATTGAGTTTGAAGGAGGACAACGATGATGCCGATGAAATGCGTCCCTTTCCTCTCTCCAGCGTGTCGTGCCTGTTGCCTGGCGAATCAGAAGTCGTCGTGCAATTGCACCCGAGGCCCTTTCATGTGTACCCCATCCCTGAGGAGGCGCCGGCTGATGCTGATGATGCCGAAGAGAAGGCGACATCGGAGGCAGGAAGCAATGCGCCAAATGCGGCGTCCGTCGCGCCACAACCGACGCCCATGTCACCGCAGGTGGTGGTGTCAACCAAACTGAATTCATCGCCGTCCCGCACGTTGCGGTCGTCGGAGCAGTCATTACCGCTGGAGGTGCCGCCGTCATCGTCGTTGTCACTGCCACCACCACTCTCTTTATGCCCCTCGGCCGCGACAGCAAAAAATCCAGATGTTGCACAACTCAATTTGTCTACTCACGACGAGCCTCCGAACCTGGCGCTACATCACGAACAATTCCTTCGAAACCTTAAGGCCCTGCAGGATAAGCTGGCGAAGGTGTCTTCAGACAGCGCAGACGTCAATGAAACGGTGGATGTCTCTACTTGTCACGGAAACGTCACTCTTAGCTCAATGAGTTCCCCACTTTCAATGGCACGGCGCCCTGGAAAAGAGACGCGTGAAGATGAATATGAGGCCGGTGCAACAAGCATTGACACCAGTGCTAACAGTGGAAGCAGCAGCAATGGTGGTAGTAGCAGCACCAGTAGTAGTGGACCTTCCACGTCGTCCGTGTACTCTCGGTCGTATCCCACCATGACAGCGGAACAATTAAAGGCTGCTTTGCTTAAACTGAAGTTGCGCATGCGTTCTGCTTAGACCTATAGAAAAGAAATATCCGGAAGAGGAGAAACATATATATAACGGCAAGAAGAGGTGGGTCAATAAAATAGATGCAAAGAAAGGAGGAAGAATTATTATTCTCATCATTAATTACCACGAATTATGATTTACCGGGTTTTATTTCTGGGGAAACGTTTGGGTGAGGGGGGCCCATGAGGTATCGTCCATATTTCAGCTGCATAGATGCACATATGATAGAGCCTTGTCTAGAAGCTATTGGTGGGGATTTGTTGTCAAGGGATCCCTCACCTCCTCCACTAAAGTTATATATTTGTTTGGCATATTTTAATGCCCCCCTGATATTTTTGGTCCTTCTTTTTTGTTTGTTTTTTCTTCTTTGGGGAAGGGGTCTCTTTGTTAATTGTGGGTGACACGAATCATATGGTGAGCGTGACTGACGATGTGGATTTTTTTCTTCTTCTTCTTCTTCTTTTACGCTCTGAAGTTTAGGTGGAGCCGAGGATAATTTGAATTGATGCGACGCATCGCACTGTGGCCTCACAGGATTTGTGCGGCGCGGTTTTTTCACTTCAGTCGCCCCCGATGGGGGACCATCATTCCGTACAAACTGGCTGACATTGGCGAGGGCATACAGAAGGTGGATGTGGTGACGGTCTTTGTGAAGCCGGGGGAAAAGATTGAGGAGTTTGACAAGATATGTGAGGTGCAGAGCGATAAGGCGTTGGTGGACATAACCTCCAGGTACGCAGGGGTCATCAGGGCTGTTCACATAACGGTTGGAGAGTCTACGCTGGTCGGTCACCCCCTCGTTGATATCGAGGTCGACGACGACGTGAAGGATGACGCCTCAGGAGCTGAGCCCCAACCGCAGGAAGCGGCTGCCGTGGCAGAACCCACCACCACCAGCAGCAGCAGCAGTCCAGGGAAGCAGAAGATAAAGGCGGCAAGTACGACCCCCACCACCACCGCAGTGAAACTGTTGGCCACCCCTGCGACGAGAGGTTTTGCACGCGAATGCGGTGTCGACATTGAAAAGTTGTCAGGTACGGGTGAGAATGGGCGCATCTTAAAGAAGGATGTCTTGGCGCACGCGCAGAGTCATGGCAACGATGAGGGGGATGTGGTGGTTTCACTCCTCACGGGCATCCGCCATGTAATGGTGAGCACCATGACAGAGGCGGGAAAGATTCCAAGCTTCACAGCGTGTGACGAGATTGAGTTGACGTCTCTCTTGAAGTTTCGTGAGGAGCTAAGGAGAAACCTGACGCCACGCTCTCCCGGTGACGCAACTCCAAAATTATCGTTGTTGCCTCTATTTATCAAAGCGGCATCTTTGGCGTTGCTGCAGCATCCGCAAATCAACTCACATGTCTCTCAAAAATGTGAGACTTTTATTATAAGGAAGGCACATAATATTGGCTTCGCTGTCCACTCGCCAAAGGGTTTGATCGTTCCAGTTATTCGAAACGTGGAGCAGAAAGGTACCATGGACATTGTGCAGGAGGTAAACGAGTTGGTCGAATTGGGCCGCAAGAATCGAATCCCACCGGAACACATGCGTGACGGCACATTTACCATCAGCAATGTCGGCACCATTGGGGCAACGTACGCCACACCAATGATTCTTCCACCGCAGGTTGCGATATCTGCATTTGGGCGGCTGCAGGTGTTGCCCCGATTTGACGTCGACGGCAATGTTGTAAGGGCAAATATTGTGCACCTCTCAAGTACGGCGGATCACCGCGTCATTGAAGGCGCGGCAATGGTGCAGTTCAACAATGCATTGAAGGGCCTTCTTGAAAACCCACAGCAGTTGATTGCGTAGACACCACCACCACCACTACCACCAGTACCCAAAAAAAAAAGAATTAAACATTCTATTTTTTGTTTTATGTTGTCAATATTACTTTTGTTACTATTTATTATTTGCGCTATTGACGGAGCAGTCACTGTTTCTGCGATGCTGTGTTCTGCAAAGAGGGGGTCTCTGTGCGTGGGAGTGGGGTGGGGAGAGGGAGAGAGAGAGAGAAAGAAAGAGCGAACGAGCGAGCGAGCGAGACATATATGCTGAGAGAAGACGGATTTGTCTATTTTTATTTTTATTTTTATTTTTTTTTTTTTTTTTTTCATTTTGTTGTTGTTTTTTTGCTAAAATAATGAAACGACGACTGCGTGAATATCTCCACATGTGTGTTTGTATGCGTCTACATGTGAGAGTGTATGAATGGTCCTGCGAGTCTCTGTTTTCACTGGTGTTTGCGCCGGGTCGTGTTGTCATGCTGTCAAGAGTATCATTAGCCGAGGGGAGACGAACAAACACAAACAAATAGCGAGGAAAAGAGAAAAAAAAAGATGGCGGATAGTGAGGAGAACCCTTTCGTGGTTGACCACACGGATGGGAACACGGAGCCCTTTCTGACGGCCGCAGAATTGCCATCACCTGCGGCCGCGGGCGGAATGGAGGGAGGAAGGGTAAAAGACGAGCCACAAAGACAACAGCAGCAGAAGGATGTGGAGGAGGCGAAGGGAGACGTGTCGAGTCTTATCCCGCTCTGCGTGCAGCATGCCAGTGGGCCACAGATAAACAGCGCCGTCTTTGGATATGACATCGCGCAGATGCAGAAGCGCCCATGGGACGACCCCGCGGTAAACCTCAAGGACTACTTTAACTACGGCTTCAACGAGACCAGCTGGAGGCTGTACTGCGCGATGCAGGCAGGGGGCGAGGCATCGCTGCTGACGGGGACGAATGCCTTTTTGTCACAACCAGCCGGCCCTGCAATGAAGAACAACGCCATGGAGGAGGTTGTGGAGGGAGACGGAGCGTCGTACTATGTTCCGCCCCAAGGATCCTCCCACGCGTACTACGCTGCACCGCGTGATAACTTCCTCAAGACAAAGCTCTGTCAACGCTTTGCGCTAGGCCGTTGCGTGAAGGGTGATCAATGCAGCTATGCCCACGGGCACGGTGAGCTGCGATCTGCCCCCCCGGTGCAGCATCAGCATCATCACCAACAGCAGCAGCAGCAGCAGCAGCAGCAGCCTCCGTCATGTATCCTTCCCCCCTTTCATGTAGAACAAGGCTACATGCCATCGATGGGTATGCCGCCGACGGGTGTTCTCGAGCCCACTGTTGCGGGCAACTACCACGTGATGCCCAAGCGCCAACGCTCTCCCGATGGCGCTGAGGGGCAGGTCTACGATGCGTCGTACTAAATCACTGAGTATACAAGAAGAGGGGGACTTTGGGGGGGAGTGGCTGCTTTTTCTTTGGTGTGGAAGAGGAGATGGTGTCACTGACTTATAATAAGAAGAAAAAAAGGAATAAAAGAATGCAAATGAAACGACGGGGGCTCTGTGTCTCTGTGAGGAGCTTCTGTTGTTGTTGTTGTTTCCGTCGTCGTTGTCGTCGAGGTGGCTTTCGATGAGCCGAGTCTTTTTTCTCTTTCTCCGTGTTTGACATGCATTTCTTTTGCTGCGGCTTTCCGATACTTTGTCCACTCTTTGCTTGGAATAGGGTCACAGCCACGCCGTTGCGTGATATTTTAGCCACACAGGAAGGAAGGAAGGAAGGAAGAAAGAAACGTAATTGCGAAGAAAAAGACGGGCACCCTTCCTTTGTCTCCACGCGCACACACAGAAAGAATTTTAAGTATACATCACCCACACAATAAGGAGGGGTAATATAATTAAATACACACGTATAACGCATGCAGTCTCTTGGAAAGAGTTTTCAACGCTCTAAAAAAGCCTCGCAACGCAGCCAGCGCGAAAAGTACCGTGGGCTGCTGGAGGCTGAGCGCAATGCAGCCATATTACAGGAGGAGGAACGTCAGCAGCAGCAGCGACAAAAAGGTGCCCCGTTAAAGTCCATTTGGGAGACAAGTAATTTAGAGGAGTTCCTTCTCATTGCGGATGCACGCGAAAAGGGGTATGAGGCGGAACGGGATATCCGTGTTGTGGTTGACGGAACCCCACATGTCGTCACAAATGACAAGGTACTGCCGATGAGCAAAGAAAGCGTAGACTGGCTCAAGCTCAGCGAGTTGCTGACAATACCGCGTCGGCCCAAATGGGAATACGGCATGTCAGCTGAGGCGGTACAGGCGATGGAGACATCGGCGTTTTTTGACTGGAGGAGGCTTCTTGCGAAGATGGAAGAGGAGCACAAAGTTGTCATGACGCCATATGAGAAGAATCTGGAGGTGTGGCGTCAGTTGTGGCGCGTCGTGGAACGGGCGGATGTGGTGCTGATGATTCTCGACGCCAGGAATCCACTCGTGTTTCGGTGTGCAGATTTTGAGGCGTATGTGCGAAGCATGTGCAATGCGGCAGGGAAGTCAAAGGAGATTATATTCCTACTGAACAAGTCTGATCTTCTCACGGAGAGTCAACGCAGCGAGTGGGCGACGTATTTCGCGGAGCGTGGGGAGCCGTTTATTTTTTTTTCCGCCGCTCCTGCCGCAAAGACAAGCCCGGAAACGACCGGAGAGAAGGATGGGAGCAGGACGGCAACTCAGGAGGGAAAGCAGAACGAGGAAGCGGACGATGGCGACGAGGAAGAAGACGAGTTTTTGGATGCTGACGGCCACCAAGTGGATGAAAGTTGTGTTCCCGAACTTTTGCGGCACCGAAGGGAGAAACGTCGGCACAACAAAAAGTCGCTGCGGGCCCCGGTGGAGGTGGCGAACCCTTATGAACTCGTCGAGCAGCGACGGGCAGAGAAGGCGCGCCGCAGCCAAGAAAAGCAACAAGCGTCGAGAGTGACGCCGCCGCCGACAGAGAACGAGAAGGCACGTGATGCGCGGGTGTCGCAGCTGCAGGCGCTGCATCCATGGGCCGTCTTGGACCCTGTGCAGCTTCTAGACCGCCTTGCTCTCTGGCGCACCGTTTATGGAATAAGGGATGCGAACACACCGCTTATGGTTGGCCTTGTTGGGTACCCCAATGTCGGGAAGTCATCCACGATCAACGCGATTCTCGGCTGTAAGAAGGTGGTGGTCAGCGCGACACCGGGCAAAACCAAACACTTCCAGACACTTGTCATCCCAAACGAACGTCGTGTCGCTTTGTGTGATTGCCCGGGTCTTGTGTTCCCGTCGTTTGCGTCGACACGGGAACAGATGGTCTGTGACGGCATTCTGCCCATCGATACAGCCACCGATGCCTTGTCCGCTGTCAACGTATTATGTCGCCGTATTCCGCGCGAGGTTCTGCAGAAACAATTTGGTGTGTCACTGCGGGCTGAGGACGATGTGGACGAGAGTCATTCCTTGGTGGAGCACTTCCTCAACGCATTGGCACGTAGGCGTGGTTACTTGGGGGCACACGACAGGCCAAACAAGTCCCGTGCCGCCCGGGATGTGCTGAAGCTGTATGTGGATGGTGCTCTTTTGTACGTTGAGCCCCCTCCCAACTACGCTCCCTCCAAAGATGCGGGTGTCGTCGGCTTACCTGCTGCGCATGTGGATGGAAAAGACAGTGATGGGTGGGAAGATGTTGAATGCGACAGCCACGATGATGGCATCGACGGTGACGAGTGGGACGATCTTGACAGTGCGGCGGAGGCCCGGGCCATTAGCGAGGAGGGCGATGTGTCGATGGATGCTCATGCCAATAAAAATGACGAAGAGGATGAGGACGTTGACAAGACGGCGTCGCTGATGTTTTACGCGCGGCCGAGTGGCATCCGCGGGGTCCTTACCGCGCAGGAGGCGTTCAATGCAGAGGCCAATGCGAACCGCATAAGGACACTGACGAGCGCCGCGCTTCGGCGGAAGAAGCGCACAAACCACCAGCTCGATCCCGTCATGGATACGTTTGTGAACAATGATGGTGAAGTGGAACTCATCATCGACGACGACGACGGCATCATTGAGCTTGTCACGGACAACTCACGACAAAACGCCGAAGGGAAACAACAACAACAAACGCAGCAAAAACGGCGGAGTAAGCGCCAGATACGCCGTGAACTAAAGCGGTTGGGTGCGGGGCCGGTCAATCCCACGTCACGCAAGATGCAAGTTCAGGGCTACTAGCCCTGCGATTGAGTAGTAATCATGGAAGCAAAGATGGAGAAAAAAAAAAAGGAAAAAAGGGACGTACTACAATAAATTGACCCCAGAGGAGGGAACGAAGGGAACTGAAAAAAAGCCAAGGAATGACTTCCATCAGCGCGAAGGATGGCAAGTAATAACCCTTTTTCCTCACCCCATTATTGCTATTGTTGTGAGTAATGGTTGTGGCGGTGCCAACGAAGACTGGAGGATGAAAACAGTGACGGCCTTTCTTTAAGTGGCTTTTGTCCTTTTGGAATCTGTTATATATATATATATATATATATATATATATATATATATATATATATATATATATATATATATATATGTATGTCAGTGGTGCTCCACCGTGTTGGATCGTCTGTGCATGACTTGGCCACCGTCGGCAACCCGTATGACGTGAAAGGAGGGCGTATTAAAGTCAGCGGCTTTGGTTTGCGGATGTCTCCGCTGTTGGCGATTCCCACGGGTTGTTCCAACGTCCATTGTGATTTTTCCGTGCTGATCAAAGGATGGGAGGAGTACACGTGCATCGCACGACGGACTCTCTGGGTGAAAGGGGTTGTTGAATAAGGTGCGTCACCTCTCGCCACTCTTCGAATGCCGGGACCGCCAATTCTGCACACGCCATTGGCCTCGCTTCCCTCCGTGCGATTGAAGAAATGTTGAAGGAAGCGACGCGTGTGTAATGGGGCACACAATGGAGCTTTTGACCCCCTGCAGAGGAGCAGGGAGGGGAGTCCGACGGGCCTAACGAGACTGCAGCCGGCGGTGGGACCGGAGTCCGAGCGCGTTTCGTGGAATCCTCTCACGGAGGCCCTACGCCGTCTATTGGCGGAGTGGCTTCCCGGGTGGGAACGAATATTGCGTCACACGTCATGGACCTCTCGCCGGCACGGTAAACTTTTGTTTCACACGATGCCTGAGAATTGTCTTTTTTGTGGGAGTCGCTGTTTTTGTCGTAGCGCATTGGGCAGCTCTTATATTATTGTTTTTGTGGTTGTTTCTTTCCTTTTGTGTGTGTGTGTGTGCGCATTTTGTTTGTCTACTGGATTGCGAAAAATAACATTCATGCGTTTTTTTATTATTTTTGATGCGTCCCTGGAAGGGAGTTTAGGGCCTTACGACGATAATACCTGCAGTTTGATGTCCTTCCAGTCCCCTCTAGTGGCGTGCCGGTCAAATTGTTGGCTGTTTTTTGTTTTCTCCTTTTTGTGTGCATTTCTCTCGCACACTTCTTAAAATGAACCAAAAAAACGGGAAAAAAAAAAAAGGTTGCTTCCAGGGGAACGGGGATATAGAGTAGCGGTAACACGTGTTGACACAAAAAAAAAAAAATCCTAAAAATTATATTCGCACCAAAACAGAGGGGGAGAGACGACGGCGGTGGGGATGCGGGCCAATGGAGCGAGTCAAGGCAAGAAAGGGAGAAGGGGAAAAAGGACCAGCAAGAATACTGGCGACCACGGCAGACGCAGTGCTGCCGGTATCTTGAGCCTGCCGATGTACCCCCGCAAGGAGCACAGGATAGTGCACTTTGGCGACGTTCGCACTGATCCATTCTATTGGATGCGTGACCGCCGTAACCCGGAGGCGCGACGGCTACTGCAGCACGAGAATGCATATGTGGAGTCGGTGTTTGCGAAGCTGGGTGGCGACCAGCTTTTCCGCACCCTCTTTAGTGAGATGCGAGCACACTGGAAGGAGGACAATGCCTCACTTCCGTTTTGAGACCGTAGTTGCTGGTACTTTGGCCGCAATCCGCCCAATGCGGCCTACCCAATCTTCTGTCGACGTTCGTTTACGGAGCAGACGGCGGGATTTATGCATGAGGTGGGAGAAATGTGGGGCCGTGACCCACTCGCCCCCCTGCCGGTGTACGATGACGAGGTGGTGTAGCTCGACATGAATCTGCTCGTGAAGGAGCTGCAACTTGACTACGCTGAGCTGGGCGACATGGAGTTGTCATCCGACGAGCAACACCTCGCGTTGGCGTTGGACTGCAGCAATGGGAGAGAGGTGTTCGCCATCTTTCTGCTTGAAATCACGGATTTAAACTACGCGCGATGGTTGGATAGACAATCGGAGATGCATCGCGCGTGGGCAGAGGCGATGGTACGATCGGAGCAGTCCATCTACACTTCACCCGTGCCTGTTCTTTCGGCACACCGAAGCCCAACGACGCCAACACGAAGAAGCAGCGGCAACAACACGATGAAGAAGACGTGTAAGAAACAGGCGGTGACGCAATCTCTTTCTTCGTTGTCGTTGGCCCTGCTGCCCAAAACGGCTACTCCCACGACGTCTTCTACAAAAATGGCGGAACCGGCACACAAAATAGCGCGTCGGATTGACGCTTTTGATGCGTCGGATGAGGTGCTGTGGTTTTCCCCGACTTCTCTCCTCTACCTGGGAACGGACGAGAAGATGCGAGCCCAACTTCTCATTTACCACGACCTCAACTCTCCTGTGCATGCAGAACAAACGGACATCATCTGTTACGAGGAGTTGGATGAGGCATTTTGTGCCAGTTCACTTTTCTTCTCCGCCAATGGGTGGTTTGCCATGTTTACTGTCTGCTCGAACAGTTACTCAGAGGTGCACATCATTCCATGCGACGCGGGAGTTGAGAAATGCGTTAGCGAAGTTCCTGTATTTCCCACAACAGCAAATGACAAGGGAGAGGGACTCCAGAACAACACCTGTGCGGTGCACTGTTTTGCGGATCGAAACTTTTGCATGGATTATGATATTGACCACCACAGCTCGCTCTTTGGTGAAGGCGTAGACGCGTGGGTGGTGACGGCGACAAAATCCTCAAAGGGATTAGAGAAATTCAGGGTGGCGTATGTGTTGGACGAGGATGAAAAGGCGTGCCGTAAGGACGCCGTTGGTGGCGGCAATCGAACACTTTCGGATCCATCTTGTTGGCAATCGCTCTTTGCGTATGATACATGCATCGAAGTTGAGGACGTTGAATGCATGCGGGATTACTTGCTTCTTAGTGTGGGACGTGCGGCGTCCTCGACGGTGCTTCTGCTGCCCGTACGCGTACTCTGGGACCGTTGGCGCGATTGTCATGGGAGGAACATGCCTTCGCTGTCCCTGCAGGACGACACAGTGGACCTTCGCCAAGTTGCATCCCGTCCGTTTCATTCATCCGGCGAGGTACGTTTCTCATTTGCCCAATTGCTGCAGGAACAAAGGTTGAAGAAGGACAATAACTCGAATGAGGAAAAAGAAAACGAAGGATGTGCCCACCGTTTTTATTGAATGTGCACTCGAGGGGGAAGGCGAGAAATTGTGCGTTCGGTGGTTATTTGGGATGGGTGTGGGTGGGAAGCCGTACGACGCTGATGAGTACGACGCCACAATTGTGTGGGTTCCATCCGACTATGCATTTCACGGCGATAAATTCACGTCACCGCTGCGGCCAATACCCACTAAGAATCCGGTAGCGGTGGTGCGTATTCCTGTGTATCTCTGCCGGAAGAAGGCGCTTCGAAGCTGTGGTGGCAACCCAATGCTGCTCTCCGTCTACGGATCCTATGGCGAATGCTGCGATGTTGTTTTTGAGAATGAACGACTTTCACTTCTGGACCGCGGCTTCGTTTGGGGGTTCGCGGCAGTTTGTGGCGGGAGTGAGCTTGGCGCCGCATGGCACAAGGCGGGCTGCGGGTTGCAACGGGCGACGAGTGTCAACGACTTTGTGAGCGTGTCGTTTTACGTGCAGGAGACGGGATGGTGCGCGGCGGGTCAAATTGTGACGCACGGCTCCTCGGCCGGCGTTTTTGTGGCGACGGCGGCGATGTGTGTTGCGCCATCGCTTCCGCTTGCCGTCATCGCGTTGGTGCCGTGTGTCGACTGCCTGACGACCCTGATGGACGACAGTCTCCCACTCACTGTCTCCAACTGGGAGGAGTTCGGCAACCCGCGCGATGACGCCGACGCCTATCGCCTGCTGCGCGCCATGTTGCCGATGGACAACATTCCGTCCGTGGGTGTTGCACTGCCGCACATGCTGCTGCTGACGGCGTGGCACGACACGCGCGTCGGTTTTTGGGAATCGCTCGCCTTCACCGCCCGACTGCGTGCTCGCGAGATGGAGGAGGGCGCAGCTACAAGGTGACGGGTGCTTCTGCACCACTGCGAATTTGGCGCCGGTCACAACGGATCAAGTGGGCGGTACGACCGACTGAGAGAAACTGCACGCGAGTATGCCTTTGCGCTGCTAACCCAGCAGTCCAAGGGAACTTTTCGAGCCGACGCATAACACAACTCTTGCGTGTCACACATACACACACGCAGCAAGAAGAGCTGTCTTTGAAAAGTGGGTTGTTGTTTGTTTTGTTTTGTTTTGTTTTGTTTTGTTTTTGGAGCGGGGCCTTAACGCAGCGCCCTGCCCCCACCCCTCTCGTAAGGTCTGTCTCTTTGTCGTCTGAAATACGTCTGGGTATGCATGTATGCAATATGTGTGGAGGGGTAAGTGAGAATAAGATGGCTCGATGTGTTATTTTGTAAACGTGTGCGTGTATTGCCCTCTTTTTTCCTTCTTTTTTTTTTTTTGTTTTTTTTTTTTTGCATTTGTTTTTTCATTGTTTTATTTTACGTGTGAGGAGCTTGCGTAAGCCACATTTACACAAATTCCCTGAGGGGAGTGGGGCGGCATCAAAAACAAACAAACAAAAGGGGGGGGGGTTAAGAGGGAAAAAGAAAATGACTTCAAAGACCCCGTCGAGGCGACTGACGGACATTTTACGCAGCAACAGCAAAGAGACACTTCTGCGCAATGCCGCCGAGTTAGCCAGAGTGTCCACATCCCTCCCGGCGGAGAAGTTACAGACACGCTTTCTTCGCAACATGCACCTCATCAGTCCCAAGTCGCTCCGATTGCTATGCGATGACGCCGTTTTATCCCGCTGGTTTGCGTTTGCCGTGTACAAACCGCCTTTCTGCCCGATGCGCCGTGCGGAGGCTAATAAGAACTATCACCATGTGTCGGTAGAATCCTTCGTGGAGGCGGCGTTGCGTTCCCGCACAGTGCAGCCTGTCTTGCAGCGTGAGCTTCAACCGGAGGAGGTGAAGGTGCGTGTCTTAAATGATGTAGATATGTACGCATCCGGTCCGGTGGTGGTGACACTGGCCGACCGGCACACCTTCTCGACATCGTTGCAGTCTGTGACGATGCGGTATGACGTCCTTGTTGCCGGACACATGCCGCTGAAAGAGCCGTGTTCAGTGGAGGCCGACCACCTCTTCGCTCAGTTGCGTAGAGACAGCAACACGGAGGACATTTGCAGTTACCCTGACACCACGGCACGTGCGACGCGATTGCCGGCGGAGGCGGCGCCGTCGTCGTGTGTATGTACGTATCAGGTGAGACGGAATGCGTACTACTCGGTGCACCCAGTCAGTCTTTTGGAGTTCACCATCACGGCGCCACCGACTCCGCTTCCTCCTCGCCTTGAGGCATTTGTTTGCGACCACCTCGGCACCTTTGTCTTGGGCGACTCCGACACCCCGGCGACCACAAGAAGGACGAAAAGAACGGCGAAGACCCCAAGCACCGCGTCGGAATCGACAGACAGGGCGCAGGCTGCGGCGAAGGCGTCACGAAGCGTCGTTGCAATGCATGGCGACTGCGATTTCCCACGTGTATTTACACATCTGCGAGAGGTTAGCATTCAAACCGATGTGGCGGATGTGGCCGGTGGCTTCGCAGCAAAGAAACCAATTGAATTCCACTGTCGCAAGTGCTTTGAGCCTATTCTCCAGCGAGAACGAATTTATAGTCTTAAGGGGCGGCGTATCGGGTTGCTGGACGGCTCCTGGACACCCGAGGCCGAGTTTTTGTGAATTGTGTAAAACAACCGCCGCGCACACTCTTACCGAACAGAAGTGGGCCTCATCTCCTTCCTCCCTTCCTTTGCCTGATGTGGTGTGTACCGATGCGTGTAAATCAACGGATGCATGCCGTAAGCATTCCATTTATTGTTTTTTGTTGTTGTTTTTATGTTTGCTTTCTTCTTTTGGTCTCTTTTTCTTAGTTGTTGTTGTTCTTGTCCCTGCTCCCAGCACACACAATTAGGATGCCCAAAAAGACCGGTGGCAAAAAGAAGGGGCAAAGTTCTCCGGATGGCTCTGAGCCGCGGAAACGAAAGAACAACAAAAAGGCGACAATGGAGCCGCGGGACGTGGATGAGATGCAGAAGCTGCAGGAACTTTTAGGGGACGAGGAACAGCCGTTGGGTGTCTCCAAGAAATCGCTAGAGGGCTTATTGTCCCTTCGGCAGCCGCAGGAGTTGGCGGTGAGGCTTGCGCAATCTCTCTCCTCCCTGCGCGCGCGGCTTGCGGAGTTGGAGTTGGAGAGGCTTAACCGTGGGAGCGAGGCGCCGGGGCTGTCGAACATCGTGGCACGCCGCGCGCAGGAGAAGGCGGAGAAGCTGGAGCTTGAGATCCAAAAGACGGAGCGGGTAACGCGCCGCCTGAAGATCATCTCAAGTTTGGTGGGACACATCATTCGCTTGCGCGAGAAAACCCTTACGGAGACTCACACGGCGATGGAGGCGGAGGTGCAGTCTCTTCAGGAAAAGATCCGGGTCAATGAAGAGCTGATACGTGAGCGTTTCGTGAGCCGCGTCAACATGCTGCACCGCTATTGGCTTTGGCGCACGCTACAGGAGCTGGGAGACCAGACGGTGGGCTGGACATTTGAGGAGGAGCTCGCACGCGGTCCGCGGTACCGCACTCTGGGGGTGCAGAACAACATTGTCTCGGAAACTCTTGAGCAGCAGCTTTCGTGGCTGCTTGTGTTCGCGGAGAAGGAGAAGATCTTCCGCGAACACGTGCGTCGCCTCGAGCTCCTCGTAGAGGAGTTAACAGACATCAATGACGCCCTGGAGGAGGCGTTGACGTGTCGTGTGTGCGGTCTGTTGTTTGAAGACCCAGTTCTGTTTTGGCCGTGCGGCCACGTCTTCTGTTTGGTGTGCTTTGACACGCTGAGCATCGCGCCGAGTCTCTTCCGCTGCCCAACGTGCGGTAGCATGGGCAGCGAGGGCTACGTGCACAACCTCCTTATTGCGGAGTCCGTGGCGAAGTGGATGTTTAAGGACGCGGGTTATGGCGACATCCACGGCGCACTGAGCCTCATCCGCCTGCACCTTTCGAAGTTCCGCAAGGAAGTCATTTCATCGCGCGTCGCACAGCTCCATCAGCAGCTCACGGAGGCACGGCAGAAGGAGACAAAAGTGGAGGAACTGTCGCAGATGGACATTACATACCGCGACTTTTGATGGTGTGAGAGAGGGCAAAGAAGGCGACGCAACGCTCCCGCCACCCCATCCTTGCAGCCCCGAATGCAAATGAGCCTGCTGCTTCTCTTTTAGTTGTTTTTGTTGTTTGCCGGTCTATGCGTGTTGTTTTGGGAAATGGCGTTTGCATTCTGTGTTGCCTCTGGGGAATAACCGCCCTTTGCAATGTATAGGTGCGAGTGCAATTCATCGCTGGTGTTGCACACACACACACACACAAAAGAAGAAAAAAGAAAAAGAGGGGGCAGAGAGACTGTCCGACATTTTAGCCTTTTTTTTTACCCCTGTTAGTCTTGTTTAGTGTTGCTTTTTCTTCTTCTTTCCTTCTTTTCTTTTTGAAATGTTCTCTTTACATGCATGACTTACGGACGGACTTTGATTGCGTTACTTTAATTTTGTTTATTTCTTTGCATTTATTGTTTTGTTTTACTGTTTTCACCCAATCTTTTTTTTTTCTTTCGTTCTTTCAGTCTGCACGTGTGTGTGTGAATTCCACGTCATGGACGAGGACCGACGCAGGGCGAAGCAAAGGAAGAACCAACAGCGTTGGCTGGAGCGACAGGAGCGGTCGCGGCTGAATCGCGCGGAGATTCGCGAGCTCCGAACGCGAATTGAGGAGTTACGAGCCCTGTTGGACTCCGCGGAGGGTGGCGACAGGCCCGGCGGGAAGCAGAAGGAGGCGGGGGAGCCGCCCGCATACACGCACTTCAATCAGCTGCCCTTGTCGCAGCGCACTCAACTCGGCCTTGAGCGTGGCGGCTACAAGCGCATGACGCCCATTCAGAGCGACGCACTGCATCTTGCGCTCGCCGGCTATGACGTGCTCGGTGCGGCCAAGACGGGTTCCGGCAAGACGTTATGTTTTGTCGTGCCTGTGCTCGAGCGGCTTTTTGTCGAGCAGTGGGACACGGCGATGGGCGTGGGGGCACTTGTCTTAAGCCCCACCCGTGAGCTCGCGCTGCAGATATTTAAGGTGCTGCAGCTTGTCGGCTACAAGCACACACACTCCGCTGCGCTTCTTACGGGCGGCCGGGACGTGGAGGAGGAGCGGAAGCGCCTGGCGGCGATCAGCGTTATTGTTGGGACGCCCGGTCGCGTTCTGCACCACCTCGAGGACGACGCGGACCTCGTGACCGACAACATGCAGTTGTTTGTCATGGATGAGGCGGACCGGCTGCTGGACATGGGCTTCCGTGATGCGATATGCGGTATTATGAGGCACCTGCCAACAGCACGGCAGACGCTTCTTTTTTCTGCGACGCAGACGACGGATGTTCAGATGCTTGCGCAGATGTCGTTGCGGAATCAGCGATATGTCACGACACACGCCTCCACTGCCGCACCCACGCCGGCAACACTCTGCCAGAACTTCATTGTGGTCGAGCTGCACCGCAAGTTAGATGCCCTCCTTATGTTTCTCAAGCGACACCCGAATGACAAGACCGTCGTCTTTGTAAGCACATGTAATCAGGTGCGGTACATGTATCTTGCCTTCTCCAAGATTTTAAAGAAGATGCGTATCCCTTCTATGTGCCTTACAAGCAAAATGAAGCAGTTCCGTCGAGAGGAGGTCTTCTTGACGTTCTGCCGCTGCAAAGCTGCCGTTCTCTTTTGCACCGACATTGCCGCGCGCGGACTGGATTTCCCGCTTGTGCATTGGGCCGTGCAGTATGACTGTCCCGACAGCGCACAAACGTACATTCACCGTGCTGGGCGTACCGCACGCGCTGGGGCACGTGGAGTGAGTCTGCTCTTTTTAACCCCGCAGGAGACTCCTATGTTGTCTTTCCTCGCACATAAGCATATTCCACTGCGGGAGATCGCCATTCGTCCCGGGCTGCTGCAGGAGTCAAAGGAGATATTCGTCGCGTTGGTAGTGCAGGGACTCAAGTACGAGGCGCAGAAGGCCTTCATTGCGTACCTCCGCTCCGTCTACTTCGCCGCCAACAAACTTGTTTTTGACGTGAACGCCATTGATTTTGATGCCTTTGCACACTCGCTCGGTCTGTTGAAGGTGCCTAACATGGCGGAGCTGCGCAACCTGCGACGTGGGGCGAAGAACTTGCCCTGGGACGTCGTCAACTACATGGCCCGGCAAGAAGGGCAACAGGAGGCGCAGAAGCAGCACCACGTCACGCGCCGTGAGAAGCATCTTGGCGCGTCCGACATGTTCCGCACACTTCAGCAAAAACAACGCTACGCCGTAAGGGATGACGATGATGATGATAATAATAATAATATTGCTAGTAATGAAGCGAAGGGGCGGTACGTTGGCCCCGGCCGTGGCGACGACGACGATGAGGACGAGGGGGAGGATTATGATGACGGGTTCCTCGTGCAGCATCGACGGACAAACAGCACCCACCAGAGGCGTGACAACACCAACAACGACGGTGATGAGTCGCAGCAACAGGAGGCGGCATCCATGCGATTGACTCCGGCGGAGCGCATCGCTGGTCTCTCGAAGCGGAAGGTGCGGAGGTTCATCCAAGCGGCGGACTTGCGGGTGCGGGACCTCGGCCTCAGCGAGCGCATCGTCTTTGACGACGAGGACGAAGAGGAGGAAGAAGAGGAGGACGAGGAAGCCAAAAAGCGCCGCGTTGCCCTCCTCGCAGCGGCGGTGGCGTCGAAGAGTGAGAGAAGCGAAGACGAGGGCGACGACGACGACGACTACGCGGGACGGTTGCGGGAACGCGTGCTGCGGGAGGCGGAAAAGGATGCAGACCGCGCGAAACGACTGCGGCGACTACGGCGGCTGCAGCGCGACGGGAAAATTAAGAAAAGCACACCACTCAGCGAGGCCGGTGTGACCGCCGCGAATGGTGGCAGGCGGCCCGCCCACGGGGGCGACAACGGCGTCAGCAGCGATGAATACGACGATGACTACGACAGCGGCAGCACCACTTCCCTCTCACGGATAATAAAAGCCGCAAAGGGCGAGTTGTACTCCGACGACGACGGCACCTCCGCCAGTTCCGAGGACGACGACACGGCGGTGCGACCCAAAAAGAAGGCCCGACACGCATACAAAACAATTAACGAGTAAAAATGAAAAAAGAAGGAAAAAAAAAATGGGACAACATTTCTCAATCCGACCAGGAATTCCTCAACAAGCACCACGAACCATTTATTTAATCAACCTCCCCCACCTCTCGGTCTTTACGTGTATGTGCGCCCCACACTATACTGATACACACCTGCAACAAAAACACAAACAAAACAACAACCATCTCCACTTCCTTTCATGCACTTTTTTATACCACCACACAGGTAGACAACATGACACACACACGCACACACAAAGAATACAACAAAAATTGAGGCACCACCACCACATACCCAAACCACAGACATAGTACCCACAGCAGCAGCAGAAAATCTCGCAATTCAATCCGAGACACAACTGCGACAACATGCCGCTGATGGGACTCCCATCTGATGGAAGAGGATCAACAACGAAACAAAAACCCAAAAATAATCCCACATTCGATACAACACACCCCCGCAACTATAGATAGATTGGCAACGGTGATAGGAAGGGAGCAAGACACTTGGGGCCGCACGGCTGACGGCCACACGTAGATATATATATATACACATGTGTGTGTGTGCGTGTGCAGTGAGGCACGCTCCCCTCTGTGATCACCAGTCCTCATGGGCGTCCAGCTGCACCTTCTCTCTCTTTCTCTCCTTTTTTTCCTTTCTTTTTGCCCCTCGCTCTCACACACCGCGCAGAACCAAGCAACCAAGCACACAGCTAAACAAACACAGCAAGATGGCGAAGGGCAAGAAGAGCGGCGAGGCGAAGGGGACGCAGAAGCGCCAGAAGAAGATCCTGCGCGAGAACGTCCGTGGAATCACCCGCGGGTCCATCCGCCGCCTGGCGCGCCGTGGCGGCGTGAAGCGCATCTCCGGCATCATCTACGACGAGGTGCGTGGCGTGATCAAGTCGTTCGTGGAGGGCGTCGTGCGCGACGCCACGGCGTACACGGAGTACTCCCGCAAGAAGACCGTCACGGCCGTGGACGTCGTGAACGCGCTGCGCAAGCGCGGCAAGATCCTGTACGGCTACGCGTGAGGACCCACATGTTAGAGGCATCAGTCGCGGCGGGTGGACTGGCGGCAACGCCATGCCCCCGCAACTATAGATAGATTAGCAACGGTGATAGGAAGGGAGCAAGACACTTGGGGCCGCACGGCTGACGGCCACACGTAGATATATATATATATATACACATGTGTGTGTGTGCGTGTGCAGTGAGGCACGCTCCCCTCTGTGATCACCAGTCCTCATGGGCGTCCAGCTGCACCTTCTCTCTCTTTCTCTCCTTTTTTTCCTTTCTTTTTGCCCCTCGCTCTCACACACCGCGCAGAACCAAGCAACCAAGCACACAGCTAAACAAACACAGCAAGATGGCGAAGGGCAAGAAGAGCGGCGAGGCGAAGGGGACGCAGAAGCGCCAGAAGAAGATCCTGCGCGAGAACGTCCGTGGAATCACCCGCGGGTCCATCCGCCGCCTGGCGCGCCGTGGCGGCGTGAAGCGCATCTCCGGCATCATCTACGACGAGGTGCGTGGCGTGATCAAGTCGTTCGTGGAGGGCGTCGTGCGCGACGCCACGGCGTACACGGAGTACTCCCGCAAGAAGACCGTCACGGCCGTGGACGTCGTGAACGCGCTGCGCAAGCGCGGCAAGATCCTGTACGGCTACGCGTGAGGACCCACTTGTTAGAGGCATCAGTCGCGGCGGGTGGACTGGCGGCAACGCCATGCCCCCGCAACTATAGATAGATTAGCAACGGTGATAGGAAGGGAGCAAGACACTTGGGGCTGCTCGGCTGACGGCCACACGTAGATATATATATATATATACACATGTGTGTGTGTGCGTGTGCAGTGAGGCACGCTCCCCTCTGTGATCACCAGTCCTCATGGGCGTCCAGCTGCACCTTCTCTCTCTTTCTCTCCTTTTTTTCCTTTCTT